TTATTTATTTATTTATTTATTTATTTATTTATTTATTTATTTATTTATTTATTTATTAAATTTGTATGCTGCCCATCTCCCCCAAAACTATACAAATCAGAAAATTAATAAAATTACTAAAACTCACGGCAATTAAACCTTAATATTACTCCGTACAGTCGATTGTGTCTGTATTCTACAGACCATATATCACAATTTAGAGACATTTGGAGAAATTAAGTCATTCTAATCTGCTAAAAGGCACCAAAGATAGAACGCCCACTGCTCCTGGAATTATATATGTACAGATGCCTGATAGAGAATACGGCATAAAAGAAAATGGGATGTGGTTGCTATAAAACTCATCTCAGCGGACAGAACCATCTTCGTCTGGGATTTTCTTATATTGCCCTTCCAGTACATCTGTTGCTGGCATATAACAATGTAATCCTTCCCTATTTTGACATTTTGATTTAACTTAAAAACCTAGCTGTGCTGAGTGTCGCTGTGGCCTTGAGAAGGTAGTGGGAGAGGCAAGACCGTTGTTCAGTCCTGGGACAGTAGAAAGTGTGCGAAAGAGACTCCCAACTATCCTGCCTTGACTTCTTGTCCTTAAAAATGGGGCAGGGAAGGTTTTGACAGGCCTTTGAGATTCTGTTAGTATACCTACAATGAAGAAGTGATCCTGGAATCCCTGTAGGGTGTCTGATCTGGCTCACCTCAAAGGAATCCCTCTTGGCAGACACATTTGAACCTCTTGTCTCTTATATCTGGAATTCTCTGGCTTAGCTCTAACTTGGCTGCCTTAACCACTACACCAAACTGGTTCTCTATTAGGCGCAGCAGAGTAATGAGAAGGAACCAAATGTTCTATCAAAGCCTGGCATGAATGAGTACTATTACCCAACAATCAGGGTTATGCTGTAACCAAAGGCAGCAATGGAATAATTATTTTTAATATTTGTTAATGGGCACCTAGACCATCCTCAGCAATTCAAAGAGTAATCTACTATGTAAATTGAAACCTAAGGAACCAGATGCTCTCTTTGAAAGACAGTCTGGTTGGAGTTTTATTTATAATGTTCTTTTTTTTTCACCCTGAGTATCGTTGGCCTCTGGAATATAAGAGGGAGGCGTCTGAAACCCGGTGTGATTTCAACCACAAAACACTCACTCCTTCGATCCAGGTCTAACACTTACCCCACCTATGGGGCAGTAACTGCCCATGTTTTCACATGGCTCTCCTGTGTTGATACAATGTGGGCCTTTTGTATTTGGAGACACATCACCTAGGTTGGAGGCTGCAAAAGCTGCTACATATGGACCCTGAAGGGGAAGAAAATCACGTCAGTGACTCCCATTGATACCACAACATTAATCATGCAGGTTCACTGGCATTTGGTGGGGTTGGGGGTATCTTATATTTAAATAAAGTACATGTTTATATTTCATATTTGAAAGATTATTTCTCATTCAAAGGAATGAGAATTGGAAATGAAAGTTTGCTTTCTTGTACTCATTTCATTTCATTACTACTATGCCATGCTTTGTTATTATTATTTAAACTTCTTATAGCTATCCACTCCAATAAACTCCGACCAGCTTAAAAGACACAAAAACAATAAAAACAGTTAAAACATACAACCCCACAGGCAGCCTGGACCAAAACAACCAAAGTTACAAATCAAACCACACCCACAAACACATCAACCTCAAGCCTGGGAACAGAACCAGGTTTTACGGCTTTCTGGAACCCCAGGAGAGTGGGCTCCTGTTCCACATTTCTCCTGCCAACTGCAGAAAGGAACACATTTAATTCTCCGCCTTCTCCAATTTAGGCCCCTCACCTTAGGTTCCTCAACTGTATTGGGACTAAAATCCCGAAATCTTGGCCACTAAAACCTGGAATTCTAGAAATTGAAGTTGCAATGCTTCTGGAGAGGAACAGAGTTGAACTTCAGAATATTGGTAAAACCTAAAGTACTAATAAAATCTTAAATGTTGCTAAAATCTTAATTGGGAGTGATAGTTTGGGGTTAGGATTCCATGCATTGCATGGGAAAGGTCCCAGGTTCGAATCCCAACCTCTTTACATAGCAATAGAAAATTTCCTGTCTGAAACTCTCTGTAGGTGTCTGTCACTGCCAACCACATTGGACTAGTTGAACTACTAGCTGCATTCAGGAGTAGGCTGACACAGCTTACTGTATTACATGCAATGATGCCCATGAGTTGTCTTACCTTTCCTGGAAGGTATCCTTCATTTTTCT